CATAGCTGTATTTTTGTGGCCTTGAATAGTTCCTGGAGCACAGCAGACACTCAATATATAACTCAAATGATTCTCTGTAGATCTACCTAAAGAGCTGTATGCACTGTGTCCCTGTCTATGTTCTACAGAAAAACAAACTCATTGGAATGCAACAGTGCCACTAATTACAAATCAAAATGCCCGAAACAGTAATGATGACATTTAACATTTATTGGGTACTTTCCTTCTTTCCTTCCATCATTCATCCATTCACTGAACAAGTATTTATTAAGCATCTAGTATGTGTAAGACATTTTTAAAATTTTTTTCACAGTAATATTTTTGATACATTAAGAAATAATGGGATTCTGTTTTCATTTTATGTAAAATGAATTTTAATATAAACTATGAAGTATGAATTGGGCATAATATATTATGAAATGTGAATTTATATTATAATGCAAAGATATTTAGAAACTTTACCAATAAAAAATAAATTTATACCTTAGAGATGAAATTATTACCTACTTAATTAGTATGATATCCTACATGTAGAAACTAGTCAATGATTAAATCACCTCCCTAAAGGAGACTTTTTGAGGGTGACCTACTTTTTTCTCTCTGCTTTAAAGAACTGGCACATCTAAGCTATCAGAAGCAAAATTAGGATCTGTCCAATTTTCATAGGAAATGGGATAATTCTTCAGTGTGGAGAATAATAAGGCATTTAATACCCTGGCCCCTAGGCTCTAAATGCTGGAATCGTTTCAAAATCCCGATTTCTTCTTTTATCTGCCCTTAGAAACATGCAGATATAAAGCAAAGGCCCCCTTCACCTTCCCTTCCACTGCACTGAACTGTACCTGAACTAGTAACTAGTGACCTTCTAATTACCAAAGACCATGGACCCTTCCAAATCCTCATTTTCCTTGAGCTCTGCATAGTACTTGGTAAATTTCAGACATTGTGTAGATATGAGATGATATTTTATCTAACTATTATTTAGTTATCCTGTTGCTAAACTGTTTGAATCTTGTACTTAAGATACTTTTTTAAATTATGGTACCCTTAGATGAATGTAATAAGCAAGCTCTTGCCTCCTGGGACTTATATTAAAGTAGAGGGAAACAATTAAAAAAAAAGAAGCAGCAAACTAAAAAAGATAGTTTCAAATTATAATAAATGCTATGAAAAGAATTTAAGACTTTAATATCATTATTTTAAGACTACTTTAAAAGGAGTGATCAAGAGAGGCCTCTCTAAAAAGATGTCAATTGAAAAGACACCCAAATGATTAAAAAAAAAGAACCAGCTATTGTGAGCCAGGGAAGAACATTAGAGCCAGAGGCAGGCTGGGTGTGGTGGCTCACGCCTGTAATCCTAGCACTCT